TGTATAAAAATGGTGGATACATGAGGTGGACTAGTCAAACTAGGGTCCATATTCTGCTTTTGTCATGAATAGGTCAAGGCACCAGTACTGTTGGTTTTTCTTCAAAAAAATATTGGTAAAACCATTTGCCATAGGTAGGATTTAACTTTACAAGGTGGATTGGTTTTGGTGTTTGCCATCCTGCCATATTAGTATATTTATACATGAGTTCTCCCACAGGTATTTGTTATGCATAGGCCTATTGTGGGGGATGCCCCGCTTTGGTCTCCTAGTTTGGGGGACGCCTTGCCCAGGATATGTTAATAGTTTCACAAACTTGGATACTATAATATATTATAATATATTGTTCGGGGCACCAATAAATGGAGCCAATCAATATGAATAAATGGCTACCATACCACATGAAATATTACGCGAATGCTACCAAGCTGGTGCCCCGTGAGGCCCAAGATTCCAGGCAAGTGTGGATTCAATCGCTAGTTTGCAACCAGACCGGAGGGATACCTCTTTAGCAACTCGCCATGAGGCCACAGAAAACCCACAGGGGGTGTTAGGGCCTGGATGTATGCCAACAAGTAGACAACTGCGATGTAAGCCCGCCCACCTATTCACCCATTGTGCAAGAAGCACCCAGGAAGCACCATGGCCTATGAGGCCCACACCCAACACCAGCCACCCATATGCCCCGCAATTGGCCAAGACACTATGCGCATGCCAAGCGACTGACCCAAACGGACCAAGGGCACCTGCTGATAGGCTCTGTATCAAAAGATCGGAGCAGTGCTCGTTGATCGGGCAGTTCAACCCATGTGAACCCATGGGACTCTGCGAAGGGGGTCGCAGTCGCACGGCAGCAAAGACAATCCCGAGGGGATTGTTAGGAGATGGCCGGGGGGATCTGGAGGCAAGGTGCAGAGTTCCCTTTCTACTTGGGCAGCACACTTATGGAGGGGTGCTTGAGAGAGAGCACCCCCTGAAGATGGATGCGGGAGCCGATGGCAGGGCAGTCCAGACGCGTTTCCGAAACGGGGGGATTTTTCCGGGAAAAATGAGCCGGCCATTCTACGGAAGGGGGCTTTGCGCCCAACCCCACCGGGGGTTTTGCTCGTAGAGCCTGCCTTGAGGAAATGCACCAACTTGATGGCAGGCTGGAGGGGGTGCAACGGGGGGCGAGTGCGGGGAGTGAGATGGCGGGGGGCGCCCGTGCCACTGAACGCTGACTCAACAGGGCGCCCAGGGGGATTTGTGATACGCACGCATATCGGGCAGGAATCGGGCGTTGTCATGTCGCCCTGTATGCTAGGTGACTGTACGCGACCTGGCATACGGGGTTTTGATGGCAGTCAGGCATGGAGACTCATATATGGGTTAAAAGGGGTCGTTATGATATTCCGATGATACAGATCGATTGCAAATTCAATTTGCAATTGAATAGTACAAAATTTATATTTTTTGATAAGTTTTGCAAAATTGAGGTTTTAAAAAGAACGAAATAAATGGACCCTAAGAAACAACCTTTGTTTCCGATGGGTTTTTGAGGAGTTTTAGGGTTGTAAGGCTAGATGCTGCTGGAAAGAAGTAATGGTTAAAGTATTTTAGGAATAGTGGAGGCTGCTCTCAAGTGTAGCCTTAATAATAGGGTAGTTTATATTGAGATCTGGGAGGATCTGTGCATGCCCTGCGTGATCCGTTGCAAATCGCGACCAGGGCAAGCAGACCACCCCCTGCATCGTGTCAATTCCGGCTGTGGGGGATGGGGCGGACGGTAGAGGTGGCCACCCGGATCCGTTAATAGCGGACAGAGGGTAATTTCCGTTAATTTTCCGTTAATTAACGGAAAATAAAGAAAAAAGATAAAAATTAACCAAAAATTAGCGGATTTTTGGATTTTTTGGGGATTTTTGGGTTTTAGTCATACTTATAGTTTATGGAATTCGCTATTAGAGAGTATGTTTGTATTTTATTTCAACCTATGCATACTAGATTTTCAACTAGCCGCAGTTGTTGTGATTTTTTGGGTTTTTTTCGATTTTTTTAGATTTTTTTCGTTTTTCTGAATTTTTCTCCCTTTTTCTTTAACGAAATTTAACGGACAGCTGATAAAAATTAACGAACCGGATTTAACGGACCGGATGGCATCCTTGAGTGGCCACCTCTAGCGGACGGGCGGATGGCCACCATCCTGGAGTGGTGGAAGGGTCGTGGTTTTCCAGGCCATTAGGAAGTCCAAGATTTTTTTGAAGAGCTGGAGCTTTTTCAGTAGCAAAGGCTTGCACAACCTAGTGTGCAAGCTGTTGTGTGGTCGACGGATGGAAGCATCAGTTTCGACAAGCCTTGGAAGAGGGCAAACGATATGCAAACTACCCTTCTTGAGGAATGGGAAGAGGTGCTGCGACGGGATGGAGTATTATATGACTTGACGAAGAGTGCAGCTGTGATTCTCACCCAGAACGTTGAGATGGATGGCCTTCCCCCCCTTATCAAGTTAGAGATTCTGTATGGGCTTGAAGCAATGGTGTACAGAGGACTTGAACCAGCATGGTGAGTGGCCTCGAGGAAGGTGGCGCAGACGAATCTCAGAAAGGAAGAGAACAAAATAGTTCCCAGGAGAGCATACAAGATTGTTAACGACCGGTTGAAGGTCACTGAGAATCGAGTTTTGAAGGAACGTTTTCATCATGGGACCACACAAACGATTGAAGATGCTGGTGAGAACGATGAATAAGTCCAAGCTTTGAGAGGTGAAAAAGCTCAGTTGCAGTCTATGCATTATGGACCGATCCCTATGACTTTCTTGACACCATTTATCGACCAAGTGCTTAACGATTTCCTTGAGCGACAGAGGGAGTTCGATCAGCTAGTAGCTGACAGCTACTTGTTAAGGATACGGTGAGGGTCGAGATGACGAATGGGTTAGCCAAGAAAGGACCAAAACTGTCGATCGAGCCTGAGGAAAACGTGCCATGCGCCAAACGCCATCCATGAGGACGGCTGGGCATGGGCAGCATGGCGTAGCGAGTCTATGATGGCATGCTGATCGGAATGAGCTGAGCTGACGAAGACAGGGGCCGTGTGGGCCACAGAAAGTGCTGGCATAAGTGGTACATGTACAACATCAAAGATACCACGCAAGATTTGGTCGGATTTTTTTAGATATGCTCGATTTTGATGACAATGACCAACTGAATTGCCATAGGATGCATGGCTGGGACAGTTTGGCTATCACTATCAATGCATAATGTGACTTTTAGTTCTTGATAGGCATAACAAGAGGCATTATTAGAGGGGTAGTAGGGAATCTTCTAAAGCATATTCTATGGAACGTGTGGCTGAGAACAAACATGCTAATGTATATAAACTAGCTGGTCGGCGATGTTGTTGACCTCCAATCTGTAATCTACGTTTGGTTACAGCCGTTGCAGCCAGCCAGACCTCCTCACCGGCTGAGGAGAGGACCTGCAAGGCCAAGTGAGTGTCCCTTTTGAGGGAGGGACTCAAGCCCTGTGCGTGACTGGTGTGAGACGATCGGCATGTGCGTTTCTGGCCGTTTCGTTGCTTGGAATCGCCCCAATTCGACTGAATTCAAGTCGATTCTTCACTGCTGTCCTCCGGAGAGGTCTGGCCATGGCGTGGCCACGATCTTTGTAATATGGGAATAGGCCAGGGTGGTCCCGCCTAGGACCCCGTAAGGTCCTAGGTGCCCGGCGAGGCGGGTCTGCGGCTTAAAGAGGGCAGGCATCCCATGAACTTAAGGTTGTATCAATATTTGTACCCTTTTTACCTTACTTGGCTATCACCACTAGGCCTCATGGCCTAGACCGTAATAGTCTGGCATAACCTAATGTGTATGTCTGGCCAATGCCAATATATGAAAATGCAATAATTTCTATATAAAAGATGTTGCTATTTACATGATTTTGGGTAGTGGGCTTGCCGGTGAACTGCACTTACCACCATCTGCAATATTGCGAATATGGCGGGAAGCATGCTACTGCCTATTTTTAAATCATGAATGCAGCCACCTGCACGGGAGTACTACAATACCCACACTTTTTTGCTAAGTGATGGAGTGTGTAGAGTACTACTACTGCAAACGTGTTTAATTATCATGATTTGTCGTTGACATGATAGCGCCCATCCGGAAATCTTCCATTTGTTTTCATCTTCGATCATCTGTCTTTCTTTTCATCCCCATTTCTGAGAATGGTGCAATAGCTCAGTTGAACCTCTTCAACATGAAAGGAATCGATGCGTCCATGGGCTTAATAACGGTGGCTATTTTATTGGACGTTTGGAGCACCCACGATGTAGTTCACTTGGATGATGTGCATCAGGATGTTCTAAAGCACTCTTTTTGGTTGCTTGCTTGCCTTCGACTTGCATGCTTCTCAATAGTATTGTGCAAAGGCCGGGATGCCAGTGCCATTTGGACGATCTTGGAAATACCATGGCCGGCCTTGCATGCGATGTTCATTCAATGCCCTTGCGCTGCATATACTTGTTGTGTGGGATTCATGGAAAGGACAGGTCGCTCCCCGCGTCGCAGCATCGTGTACCCATGTAATATAGGTTGAAGAGCAGCGACCATCCCACACCACACACGTCCAGTTCATGAATGTAAACGGCTTTCCCCGCCCGCTGGCGCTCACTGTCGCCGCCCAGCCCATGAGGCAGCTGTCCACGCTCGTAATAAACAAGAGGCAAATGTGGCCTGTCCTTGCCCTCGTGTTCCTGCCCTGTCACGATTGGCGAGCTGAGTGCAGCCAAAAGAAAGGCCAACACAGCTGGACGCACAAGCCGTGCACGGCACCAAGACATTGCAGGCACTCTTACAGGCGAGAAACAAGTGCACACATGCTTGCCTCGGGTCCTTCCCACCCCCATCCCTGTCCTACATCAAGGTCACGGCACCGTGTGTGATCCATTTGTTCCCCATTTGGTCCCAGCCTATATAACTCCCCCTCTCCCACCCCCCTTGTGTCGCTTGCTACCACCAGATTTCATGTTGGGCACCTGTCTCGATCGGACTCTGGCCTTGCCTTCCACAAAGCATTTGTGCGCTGCGCCAGGGCTTCGCACCTAAAAGTACAAGAACGGGAAAAGCCAAATGATGAAAGGGGGCCGGCAGTAGAGTTGCTGCAATACTTCAAAACAAACTCGCTCAATCAGTCTGATTGTAACTGAAATTGTAGGTTGATACCAGTGCACTTATAGTTTACAAGCATGTTATAGCATCGTCGACAGCATCACACAACATCGTCAATGACAATGACCACGCCCGCGGTGGACACTGATTGCACATGCACCAAACTGTCAGGCGAGGTATGGGGCTGTAAACGGCGTTCTGGGTAAGCACCAGGCCTTGTGAACAGCATCCCACTGACTTGAATGGGCTGCCAGGGGAAAGGTCAATTATTAGTCATATTTCGATGATTGCAATGTGCACAGGTTCACTAACATTTTTGTGAAGAAAGACGTCTTCCTTGGTGCGTGAAAATAGTGTCACAACAGTTTGGGGTGTCCATTGGGAGACGTGTTTCTTGCTCCAATGTCAACAAGATTCAACATGGGCTCCTCACTGCCACCCTCACATCTTTTTCTGCATGTTGCGCTGTGCGATGTCTTCTTGACAGCACCGCAGAGCCGCTCTGATGGCTTCCACGGGGGTGTCCGCATCCGTGGATGGCGAGCCTGCTACAGAATCAGTCACCGCTGCCAAAATGTCTGCCTGTTGCATCGAACTGGCAACACACTGTCGCTTGGCGCTCCGCCCATCGTCATGTTCAAAGCAGTTGTGGTCATGACGGCTTTCATTGCCATTGTTCATGCCCAGGCAAGGTGTGCCATAGGGAGCTCGGAGCTCGTCACCAGCTCTGAGGTCGGCTCTAAGGCTGCGGGCCCTGAGCAGTGAAGCAACATGAACATTATGAAGCATGATAAAATTGTGTTCGAGTTGCTGGCGTTTTAGGCAGGGCTGAGCAGTGCTGGGAAAACTGTGTAATTTCTAACCAGAGGCATGGAATTCGCATGGTAGTGTGAATTGTGGGTATCACCACAACAAGAGAGCCATTCCACACCATCAATGCAGAAACAACCATTTTATGAGTAAGCACTTGTGGATGAACAGTGCCACGCATCGTTCAAAAGACACTGTGGCTCCCAGTTGCTATCACAGTTCGACATAATATAACCAATGCAGTGTCAGGTGGCCCATCCCATCCAGACAGCTTGATCTTGACAGACTGAATAAACAGATGTCCTGTGCTGTTGCGCCCACCATCGCCCGCAAAGAGCAAGGACATGATTTTGGTGTGTGCTGCTGGCACTGAATTCCACCTTATTCCAACCATCATCTCACCTAGCCTCGTGCCATTCGGTCTCCCGTCGAATTGACACCCTTGTATCCTCAACAGCCTGCAGCATTGCCTTCTGCATGGTCGAGGCGCATTCAGCTGAGCAGGAGTGCCAAAAGTTGCCCTCCTCCAGTAGCTCCTCTGGCGCGCTCGCCCCCACCCACCACTCAGCCACAGTTCGCATGAGGTCTCGGATCCCAGAGGTTGCTGCCACAATGAGCAGTTCCCGCAAGGAGGCCTTGCACAGCATCTGGCATGTCCAGTCCTGTCAAGAAGCGAGGTAGGATATTTATGGGTTGACTGTGGGGGCTACGGGTCAAAGATTTGGGAGAGCGTGTCACATTTGTTGTGTTATTCGTTGGCATTGGGGGGGCGTGCAGCTACCTTGTGATTGGTGCCAGCGGGAATCGGAAACAACGTCTGTGCAGCAGCGATGCAAGCATGGAGAGAAAAAATAGACTTAGGGGAACGACCCAAAATAAGAGAAAAGAAATAAAAGTCGACTTGCACAGGTCATCCTATGAATCAGTTGACGCACAGATCAGCATCAAAAAGTCAAATATTATATCCTTGCATAAAATCAAATGCTGCAAAATTTTGATGTTCAAAAGCTTAAAATGAACACCTCCACAGTCAATATTGACCAGGGGGGCCTTCAGCTCACCTTTGCCATTTTCAGCGCATCGGGGCATTCGAAGGACTTGGCAACCCGAACAACTTCTCGCAGCGTAGCTGTGTCTGGGCACTTGCTGCATGCTGCCATATTCAGAAATTTCGATTTGAGCTTATGAAGGCCCAAGTCGTAGCACACCACCAACACGTCCACTGGATGGCTATTGCCCCAGACCTCCAGTGCATTCATAGCAGCAGCCTTCAGATCCTGATGCACCACACTGAATTGTAACAAAAGATTAACTGATTGGACAGGCACTTGATTGCAATACTTAATAAGCACTTCCTACATCAAACAAATGTGCTCTATGGATGTACACCGTTGGTCTATACTCAAACCCCAGCAGATATTTTCGAAAATTCTTTGGTATTCATAGTTCTGAGTGTAAAGGATATATTATTCAAGACTTGAATTTGCTTCAAAATAATGATATCATGACAATACCTAGACTCCCCACAACCTTGGTCAAGAGAGCCAAATCTCATGGGTTTACCAAAGCAGCCCAGAAATCGCCATGGTGAAGGAATCGCTTATACCCAGTGGGCCAATGCCACACTTTGGGAACTCACAATACCACTCCGTTGGAATATTGCCGCACTTACTCCAACGACACAGGGTTTGTCAAAATGGACTTGGTCAGCGATCCCTGTATGATGGTCGATTTGTCATGCAAATATACATGCTTTACTTGATGTTGTTGTGATTTAGCTGACTATCAGGTCTTTTGTTGTATTTTCTATATCACAACATATTGTTGTTGGGACCAAACCTTTAGGAGGGATTGGGTAGGTTTCATTCTCTCTTTGATTCCTAAGGATATGGAGACATTGTTTGGGTTTTTACCTTCTGCTGCATGCCTTGGAAGTGTCTTAGAGTTCTAAGGATTAAGGATGTATTTATTGCCAGACATGGTGTTAAAATGGGCCCACCAAACATTAAATCTTAATCTGGTTGTATTTAGCGAATGTGCCGTCTGATTGTAATGAACTTGTTCCAATTGCCCCGCTCCCTGCCTTTGGTGGTCCTGGGCACGCCCCACGAGCGCCACCCCTCGGGGTTGGGTTGCGGTGGTGCACAGCAGACGCAAAACGAAGTTAGGGAGATTCCTTTTCAGTTTCGAATTGCCACTGCAGCCGTGCACTGCACATCATCACCCTCGTCGTGCAGTGGCACGCCCCATGGTGGGTTGCCGCCTTGCAAGTGATTCCAACCATGCCCTAAGGGGCGGCAGCTCACATGGTGTTGCGCGTCAAGTTATGTTGCACAACAAGTTATGTTACACAACATGGCATGCAAATTTCGTTCTTAAATTCCTCATGGCATACAGCCTCGTGTATCTACCTTCTTTTAGTACTACATTTAAACACAAAATGTCTTCTACATCATTCAAGCGCTGAGAGTCTCTACGTGTGCTCTAGACTGCACTAACGTTCTCCCCTCTTCCAAACTATATACCCTTATATTTAGCACCTTATCTACTTCTTCCTACTGCCCCTTTCCTTGGGCTTTTTATTAGTATAGTAGGAGTCCCTATATAACGGTCCCCCCATGACATGGCCAAAAAAGGGGCGCTATTGGGGGCCGGGGGCGCTATTAGGGGGGCGCTATGTAGGGACCCCTATTGTATACCTTTTCCATCTAATACTCTGCCTCCTATTTAGTCAAATCATATAACCCCTTACAAAAATTGGGGTCTTTTGCATCTGTTTTGTCCAAATAATGTCTGTTTGAATGTCTGGTTTCATCTTTGTAAAGAAATAGTGTTACGAATCGGAAATTCGATCAACTACTATTTTGGCATTTGAATGCGAAGTTGGTGAATTGAAGGCGACCACAATTATGGTGCCTTGAATCATGTGTTTTCTAATGTGGTTTGGTCAGGTGATGCCAAAAAACAATGTTTTATTGCATGATTATTCAACTTGTATGGCAAACTGGTTTGTTAAATTTTTCATTGCCAATCCGCCTCCATCACCCCCCGCTGGTGGTGAGTACTAGGTGGGGCCCTGCAGTGCCACCCTCCTTGGGTGTGCCACGGGGTGAGCAACATACCGTATTAACCCAGTATTAATAGGCACCCCCTATTAGTATCCACCCCCCTCTTTGTGGGTCGAAACCACATTAGTATCCATGACCCGGTGTTAATATCCAACCCCAAAACATACAAAGACGAGCAAAGGTGCGGATGGTGGCAAGGGAAGTTGGCAGCTGGCGTTGGACCGCGCTGCCCAATTTGGACCAAACGGCATTCCCTGTGATTCGCACATCGAGGGGACGATCGAGTCAAGGTGGATGCTGTCGAGGGAGAATTTGGAAGGGGCCCGCGAAATGCCGCATGGTCGACTGGCCGCCATTGCCGCTCTCAGTGCAGGATCGCAAGGCAGAGACCAACACTTTTTAAGTGAAGGGCCGGATCTTAGCAAACGAGCATCCCATGCCACTCGAAGCTACTAGACACCCTCACTCTGGGGGTGAGCTTTGTCCGGATAGGCAGTTTGCTCCATGGTCACACCTCGACGGAGACCCCCATATTTGATATGTCTCGTCGCTACCCTCCCATATCGAAATTGGGTAATTCGCATGCCTGCTGCCTACCTTCCTTCAGTCGGGTTCCTCAGTCAAGACTAGGTCACAACCGTCATTGGGAGGTTCTCACCATACAAGGCCTCCGGAAGACCCTCACCAGATAGGGTCTTCCATGCGCAACACCAGCACTGGCAGCGAGACCGGTTTCGACCGACGCCACTCGGTCTCATCAGTTCTCTTCGAGCCGTTACCTCCCACTCTTCCTTACAGGCAAGGAAGACTATGGGTGTGCTTGCGGCATATGTGGTTGCGACTCCACGACCGTGACATTACTCCCCCCTTGGAATTGAGTTCGTCCCTGAACTCGGTGTATGCCTTGGTATTGGCTTCGAAAGGAGACACCGTTGAACTAGCGACTTTAATCGGGAAACGGTTGGCGGTCGCCTCCTATTGTGACCGGGAGTTATGCATGGAGGTTTCTGCAATTTCGGCAACCCCCTATGCTTTATAGACCGGGCGGTTGCCAACTTTGTGCGTCTTCGGTCTCCACCTATTGTTGACCGGGTGGTACGTGAGCCCAAACTTGCCCAACAAACGGCAAGGTCTTGCTCACCTGACAGCAAGACATACAATGTGGTTGCCGCTATCTTTCTTGCTTGCCTAGGACCGTTAAACCTGAAACTTGGCCACTTGACGCCAAGACGCTTGCCCACTAGACAACAAGACTTACGGGGCTTGGCTCCGAAACCATTTGTTAAGTGAAGGGCCGGAACTTAGCAAACGAGCATCCCATACCACTCGAAGCTACCAGACACCCTCACTCTGCAGGTGAGCTTTGTCCAGATAGGCAGTTTGCTCCATGATCAGGGCTTGACGGAGACCCCCATATTTGGTATGTCTCGTCGCTACCCTCCCATGTCGGGATTGGGTAATTTGCCCGCCTGCTGCCTTCTTCTTTTCTTCGGTCAGGTTCCTCGGTCAAGACTAGGTCACAACCGTCATTGGGAGGTCCTCACCAGACATGACCTCTGGAAGATCCTTACCAGATAGGGTATTCCATGTGCAACACCGACTCCGGCAGACAAGACCAGTTTCGACCGATGCCACTCGGTCTCATCAGTCCTCTTCGAGCCGTTACCTCCCACTCTTCTTTACAAGCAAGGAAGACTATGGGTGTGCTTGCGGCATGCGGTTGCTACTACACGACCGTGATAGAAACCGCAGGGCACGATCAAAGAAGCAGTCAAGATATCAGAGCCGCTCTAATTTCTAGATTTTGTTAACCTACACCTCGGCCGGCCTAGGCAAATTCCGACCTGGCGCCTGCCAAGGGCCCTCCCCCAAGGCCCAGCACCAGGAATGGGCAGGCGATGGCACAAGTTGGGACAGGTGCCGTTGCAAGACCCTGCCTTGCAAAATTGCCTGCAAAAGTGCTGCGAAGGCAGGGCCCATCCCCAATACGCGCATTGCACTGCCACCAAAACACAAACCCAATTACAGATCCCATCAGCCTTCCTAGCCGCCATCAACCTGGGAAAACGCTGTGTGTCAAGCCCATTGTCGCAATGTGGCGCCCCAGCAGGCCGAGACCCATGTCAGTCCTCGTTCTTTGCATTGCAGAGTCAAACACGCTTCGAGCATTCCAACGAACCCCTGTTGGGCCCCAGCGCCAGTCGCCACCACTTGCCACCACCTGCCTGGTGTGGCCCCCAAGTCAAGGCCGCCAGTTTCTGTGAAGAGGCTGGCAACATCCCGCAATAGCATTGCCATTTTTGCCCATTTCTGGGCATTTCACAGCTTAATTGTCATGAAAATTCTTTGAGATCAGGGGCCCAAATCGCATTAGTATACACGACCCACTATTAATATTCACCACTCATTTGGGGGGTCCAATACACGCCTACAAATACCAGGTAAATATGGTATAGCGATTCTAAAATGGTGATTCTGAGAAAGACGAAGTAAAAAATGAATAATATTACCTATGACTAATAGTTAACCAATTATGACCCATTAATAGATAATTGGTTGTGATTGATAATGCTAACTTGGCATTTACCTAGATATTGTTGACAATACCAGTAACGTTCGCAGAGAATCCTTTCAAGGTGCGAGTGGAGAGCATTTCATCAAAATCCAGGGCAATCAAATTAAATGGTGATGGCATTTTCAAATTCCATGGCAACGTTTAGAGTTTGGTTGTGTCAAGCTAATGTTTTGAAAAACGTCTATGTTTCGTCCACCCAACAAGAACAGCCTCCCTACCAATGCCGCTTGCTTGTGGGCAGCACACGAGAAATACAGGATATCTATGGCAGCCGTTTTGGCCGAAGGCTAAGAGCGTCCCCATGAAGATTGGAGGCTGCAGATCCAGGTTCTGTAACCCATGGTCGCCAATCATGATCGACGTTGTGGCGGCCAACATGAATCTTATTTCCTGGTTGCGAATCGCATGAAATCAGGAAGAGCTCAAGTTTGCAATCAACAAGGGTTTAGAGAACGCGGAAATCGTGGATGTTTGTCAGAAAATTGTGGTTACCCTTCTAGGTAGGGGCACAAAAACCATGGGAAATGGTTGTGTTGGGCATCGCCACTGCAAGGGTTTGTGGGGGTGTCCACATGGCTCTCAAAGGCATTCACATATCAGACTTCTCATGCCACCCAGACAAGTCTGGAAGCGAGCATTTCGGTCACTGCCATGCATTCGATTGTTCTAACATTTCTCCCTTACATGTTTTCAAAGTTGCAACTAATCTTTTGTTAATATTGCTGTCGTCATTGTTGTCTCACCACCAATTGTCATTTGTACTGTCCCAGGTGGCAAGGCTTGACAACACACCCTGCCCTTGAAATTTCAAGGCAACAATGGGCACAACTCTTGCAATGTGTGCTAGGGAATGCCTGCCTATTCGCTCATTCCCACCTTCAGCTTGAGCTTCCAGATGACCCTTGCCATCGCCACTGACGTCTCTGGCTTCAGATACTTCCTGAGGCGCGGCCTGACGTTTTGCTTAACATGCTTCGCCAACCCCTCACAGTGTGGCAGGTCTTCCGCCAGATCCAGTAGCGGGCCGGCGGACTCATGTGGCGGCAGTTCTTTCAGCGCCTGGAGGCATTCCCGTTGCAGCCAAGGCATGCTGAACCTGTCCGCTGCCCTGTCACACTGGCAAAGCAACTGCCCACTTCCAACAGCTTCTGTCTTCTGTGAACCATGAGTGCCCTTATGGACACGCTGGGTGCCAGATCAAAGTACCAGCATACAGTACAAGGTCATGGTAATAGTGCTAAGAACAAGGCCCATTTTCCCACTTCTTTTCAGGGATGTACCAATCAACGAAATGGACAAAACCACATGATAGTAGCTGCATTGTTATCTCATTTTACAGTGTGGCTATTGACAACACTTCATTGTCAGTTATGCTGCTGGTAATGCTATTATTAACTCATTTGCTTGCATTCTTAGTTGATATTTTACATCTTACAATTTCACCGTCTATGCGTGAGGATTCATCAATGAAAGATGCACTTTGCAAGTAAGACCAGTAGGCCATGTCACTGGTACATGTTCCTGATAAGAGTGCCTCCTGCAAGATCTGTGCATTTGTGGGGCCTCTGCATGGTTCCCCAATGTGCAGAGAGAATTTCAATGTCTACAAGGGGATGCAGGCATCAAGAGCGCCCAAGAGCTGACAGCTAGGAAAGTGTGATCAGGGAGAGAGCATGCCAAAGCAGTGGGCAAGCACACGACAGTGCCCAGCCTTCCACACAGCGATGAGCACCTGCACACACTGCATCGCAATTTACTTGCTGCTGATCTACCAGGTGCTCTCAAAGCTAGGGCTCAAGAGTGAGAAATGATCATGCGACAAGCGGACATACCCTTGCAGGAGCTGTGGGGCGCCAATGCAGACACTGCCTTTGCATCAATGGGAGGCACTGTCTCAATCTCTGTGAGAATCCAGCTTTTTCAGGTGAATATGAAACTTTGTGTATCCGAGAGTGTTGCAGCAACAGTGACCTCCAGAGTTGAAGCAATGTTGAAGCAGTCAGAATTTTGATCCATTGACTAAACATGCAAACATGCGATCACATTATCAGCCGAATCACTTGTGTTCTACGCACCTAAAGATGTCTGCCAGGATTGGCGCCTGCATACCCTGCACGCCCACCAGGCCCATCGTCCATCTCAGGAGGCCGGCGAGGGCAGCTGGAGGCACACCCGACGCTGACACCTCCACCTCTGGCTGCGACCTCAGGGCCTCAAGGAAGACATCATCAAAGAGCTCGGTGTACAGCCCCAGAACGCCCGCAGGCACCACCACACGTGACTTCTCCGTTTTGAAGGCCACGACACCCCAACCCAGGGACTTGGCACAGGAGGCCAGCATCAACCTGCAGTGCTGAGCTGCCAATATGTGCTGCCCTGTTGCACGATTTGCTCCCAAGGCGTGCAGCTGCTTTGGTAGAGTAGCAGCAGAGCCATCTGGTGAAGAGGACCCAGGCCAAACGTCGGTCACAATCAACAATCAAGATGGTATGGCTAAAATGACTGTTAGGACTACAACTTTTGGTCCTGTTTTAGGCACATCGTATGCTGGTGATGCTAGGCTTCAGCAGATGAGCAATGTTCACCAAATGAAAATGCCCATTATGTAAATATTCTGAAGTTTTGAATAGGCATGCCAGGTGCCAGAACTGATCGCTCTGGCACACACAACTCCAGGGCTCGGCCCTCATCCGTTTAGCTGCGATGTGTTGGACACAGTGATGTTTGCACCATGGTCTGGATTAGGCATAACAAAAAATGTTCTGCTGCAGGGACAGCTATGTGTTACAACAGTGACAATGTGGATAAATGAAACAGCAAACCTTCACCTGCTGCTCCTTTCCCCTTCCCTGCCAACTGCGGCACCCCCATGCAGAGCAGCTGTGCACGTGCCTTGGGATGTTCCCCCACTGCCCTCACACCTCCGTACAACAGCACTCCCTCCTTCATTGGCACCGCGGCTGCATGGAGCAACGCCTCTGGGCTGCCACCTGCCGGCACAACCGCCACCCACCTTGTGTGTGGCAACAATCCATTCAATTAAACCCACAAGCACATGACTTGGCCCACAAATGACATAGCACCACGATTACATGTACAAAGCGATGATGCTCTTCCAAAATGTCGGTGCAGCACTTGCAGCAAAGAAGAATCAACACAAGGTAGTAGCCCTCCAGTTCACATTTCTTGCAAGAAAAGTGATGTCAAAGAACCTTTCGATGCAAACCAGGTAGACATATAAAGGCATTGCAGCAAGAGTCCACTAAATCTACAATTACCTGGCCTCCAATTTGTGGTTGGCGAAAACATAGTATAGAAAGCGTTTACGCAAGTGGCATCCACATTTTCACCGTGTTCTGTTGCTGCAAGTCGGATTCCCTCGGCAGTGAATGCACCCGAAATGGAAGAGTTGGTAGCATGGATATTCAACATCTGCAGGACGGTCTAGGATACCAAATATTTACCTGACCACAATAGGCTTTGGGGCCTTGGCGTTTATGGGGATCACGATTAGGACAATCTGTGGGCAAACTTCTGCCCAACACCCGGATTCAGCCGCAGGGGCTGTGTTTAAAGGTTCACCACTTTTTGAATAATGCATTCAAAGGATGTGTCTTATCATTTTCCCTTCGTCTTTCACTTTTCAATTCTAAATCAGAGGACTGACAACACACGCACACCTCTCATAGCATCTTTACCACCACGTGCCGCTGGGCCGTAGGCGCCTCCAGTCATCCAAATGGCACGCTATGCTAAACCGCCATCATTACGCCCTGCAGTCGCCTTTCCATGCGCGAGAGCCTGGTTCAACCACGCGCATTTGACACATGCAAACAACGCAATTCCTATGTTTGCGCATCAAGAACGCAAGCCACAGTCATGACCCTGACTGGTCTGACTGGCTTCCTTTGAATAGGCTTAGGCCAACCAGGACCTTGACTGGTCTGACTGTGCCGTGACTGGGATTTTGGGAAAATGGGCTAGGGCCGAACGGTGGCGGCTGCACACTACTGGCTCCGATATGAGTACGACGGTCTGACCGGAGTGTCACTGACCCGGCCAGGAACTGACTGCGGCGCTCTTGACGCCCGCACCCTCGCAATCCTCACCTCACGGCCTCCAGGTCCAGCAGGTGCACGTCCCGCAGCGGCCCCCCGCCGGCGCCACAACCACCGTAGACGACCGCGTAGCCTCCCTCCAGCGGGGCCACTGCCGCCACACTCCTCTTCTCCGGCGCATTCCCCTCCGCTTCCACCCTCTCCCACTCGCACGACTTCAAATCCAGGGCCATCAATTCCACGCTCCGGCGCCCCGGCGACGAGGGATTGACGATCGCCACCAGGCGCCGATCGAGGTGGAACAGGGCCAGGATTGACGCCGGCGGCGGGCAGCGTCCGACACACTCCACGGAGCCCCACTGGCTCAGGCGGGTGTTGTACTTGTGGAGCGTCGGGCGGGCGTCGGCAGGATTGCCGAAGGCGTCCAGGCCGCCGTAGACGTACACGACGCGCGAGGCGTCGCTGGCGGCGGACGCGTGGAAGGCGCGGGGGGAGGGCGGCGGGGTCCTTGGGGCCACGGCGACCGGATACCGAGTCCGGTGGTCGAGCCTGGCAGGGAGGGCAGGGTGTAAATACTCGGTCAAGTTCTGTGCTTGTGTGGGCGGCAGCCTGAAATGCCGTGGTGCTTTGACGCACCCGGGTGTGTGGAGCTGGGGGGGATTGTTGGCGGGGTGCGAAAGCAGCGGGACGGGTTTGCGGTTGATTTAGCCAGGTGGCGTAGAGGGCATGAAGATTGGTCTTTTGACAAAGGCAACTTGGCACACTGAGGGAATCCTGAGCAACGAGTCCTTTGTGTGACAGTGAGGAAGACATGTCGTACAATCGTGACACCGATTGTGCACAGTCAATATTATGCAGTGTATAGTGTGTGTATCAGTGCATGAACAGGTCAATAGACAACGGCCAGTGGTAATACTGCAGGCAAACTGGCCTCAGGAAGTGTCCTTTATGGGGAATACATGGTGCAGTGGAGAAACAAGTTTCTGTACTTGCTGCCAAGTGGACAGATACCATAGCAGATTCCACCCTACTGCATGTTCAAATATCAGAATTACGTTTTTGCTCTGCATTTTCCACAAGAAAACAAGGCAACAAAAGAACCCAGACTGTTCGTAGCATTGTCCCTCAGCTTCTGGGATCGTACGCAATGCTCAAGTAGCACACATGTTGCAGCTGTCAAGAGGCAGTAACAGGTACCGTTTCAAGTGTCGAACATATGGATTCTGGCCATGGCTTGTGAGCTTCAACAAAAGAAAGCGTCAGAAATTCAGCACTGCACGTGAACTAAAAATGACGGCATGACCAGAGAACGATATGGTGATGTTGGCATCACCTGTACATCACGCCAGAAAGACCATCTTCCCCCTTTCCTCCAAATATCCATGCTTGACCATCACATGCAACAATGGAATGGCCCCGCAGCCCTTGCGGCAGCAGGCCCACAGCTTGCGCATGGAGATTGTCACCATCAATGGCCAGCTGGCACACCTCACGCCTGACTGTAAATACCTGAAAACAGCGATGAGACTCCTTCAATGGGTCATTTTTGCAATCCTGTTCAGCATCATTTTCCCTTCATTCTGTTGTCGCCAGTCAGTAGCGACACATAAAACGGCCTTGCATTTTGCCATGCAATGTGCAGTGGTTTCATTCTTGCATCGCATTTGAGAGTGCAGCTGGCACACCAGCATATAAAGTCCAGTTGTCACAATTCGCATGTGTATGTGCTAACAGATCATCACCATTCGATGTCTGTTCATGGTGGAGCAACACTGGCACCATACAACTTGTGCGCCAATTCTGAGATCTCCCAGCAAGGATATGAGGAATAAAACTCCACATGCTTTTTTAGCAACAGCGACGATGCAACTATATTGCGCAGCAAAGACAATGCACAGAAAATGCAATTAACCTCTTTGTCCAAATAGAATTAGTTGGGCAATCCACGCTTCTTCCACCAAGGGCGCACTCTACCAGTTCCCTGCCCAAGTGCCAGCTGCAGCGATCTTACGAATGTATTCTTTTTGAAACTATACGACTGAAGTTCAAGTACCTGGACCATCCCAGGGCAAGAGAGTGATCCTGCACAATGAAGGAGACGAGAGGCACTGGAAAATCGAAAGTGCTGTGCTGCCCCCCACTTGTTCATAACTCTGCATTCTACCCTTGCCGAGGCATTTTAATGCAACCCAGCCAATAAAGTCAAGCTGTTGCCAAAGATGCAAGTGCGCATGTCCATCCTTTGAAGTGGTGAGGCTGCGGAAATGCAAACACCCATCAAAGCATGTTACAAAACTGAACGGCCTTGACACCACCCAATGGGTAAACGGGCAGCGATTGCTTTTGGTTTGATTCTGTGTTCATCTATTGCACTTCTTTGTGTGTGTCGTCTTACCAGCTGCGGTATATGGGGAGGCACACATGTGCCTCCATCTTACCTTTGCACGTGCCAGGGCAGCATTCAGTCCTTCCAGCTGTTCCGAGCTGTTGGAAAATGTATTATTTTCATCCTTTTATACACTGCAACCACCAGAGATCGAGGCAGTGGCCAACGTTGACACACCGTTTCCACTGTATTCACGCACATTGTGCAAGAACTTGGACATCCTCGAGGCCAGCGGCCAGCGCTGACTTCAAATGCAATCAACGCCTATTCATGCTGCCAGTCAGGGCCATCCGCCACAGCCATCGCCAACGCACACATTGGCGTCTGCATTGTTCCTTCATTTGTAGGTTCGTTGGGCCACCGCTTTTCTTTCTAACACTTCCAAACACTGCCTTGCCTTGACAAGTTCACAATCAATGGAACTCGACACACCTTGGGGCGCAACACCCGGGAGCAGTCCTCCTGCTCCTCCTGGCTGTCCACATAACTCGGGTCCACACGCGGCGCCTCCGCCTCCATCCCGTAGCCCCCAATTGCGTACGCCACATCCTCCCCCTTCGCGGAATCCCTCACCACAACGCCCCGCGCCCCCGCCACCGCGACACCCCCCTCCAGATCCACTATCCTCCATTCTCGGGGCACGGCCGCGGCCAGCGCGCCGCAGATCCGATTGATCGTCTCGCTCCGATCGGCACCCGGCGGGTCGGCGCCGAGCCGGGTCGTGAATGCCTCCAGGTCCGCGTCGTCGGGAAGATTGGCCCAGCGGATGCCGTCCCTGAGGGTGGCGGCGATTTGGGCGGGGGAGATCGGCAGGAAGGTTTGGAAGGGGTCGCGTTCGGCTACGTCGGTGGCCATGTTGAGGGGGCAGCGGGGGGCAGCGTTGTGCTCGAGTCGTCCGCATTTTGGCGGGAGAAGTGGCGTGTACAACTACTACAAGAGGGCACAGGCCGATTCAGCGCCCTCAATGACAGGTCGCCACACCGACGGATATCTGGCAACAATGCACCCCAGATACCACCGCACCTGCCGTCCCCGTACACCTCCCAACTGAGCAGGCAGCCCGGGTGCAAGTCCCCCGACGCGTCCACCATCACGAGCAGCCAAGCGCCCACGCCCTCGCAGATTCTCAACCGACGCAGGTCCATCCTCCGCGGCGCTTCAGGCGAATTGACCCGACCCCGAGCCCCCAGGCCCCAGCGAATCCGCGGGCGGAAGGAGAATAGAGGGTGGAGAATCGGCGGGCGCGCCCCTCCCGGTTGCTGGAACTCACCGGTTCAGGCGCGGGGAGGTTTGGGTCGACTGTTGGGAGGCAACCCGCTGCGTAGGCGGTCATGGAGGGCGACCCGGAGTTGCCCAAGGCTCAGGTGAAGCGGATAGTCAAGGCCAAGCTGACGGAGCTGCTGGGAGGCAGCGAGGACGACAAGCGGCAGGTGGGGGAGCGTTCGCCGGCTGCGATCATTGCATTGGCGAGATAGCGGCAGACGGATTGCATTGGTGAAAAGGGGATGGTGCATTGGGTTGGCGCAGCCGGATGAAGCGGGGGCCTCAGTGGAGCGAAACGGCGGGTGTGCGCGATAGAATTGCGGTGAGAAGGAGTGGGTCTTGCCGTTGCCTTGTGCCAGGCGAAGCGCCTGGGGCTCTTCACGCGCCAGATATCGCCTTTGCATGGGAAAGGAACATGTCGTGGACTGGGGAAACCCCCCGGGCAAGATTGCTTCCGTTGGCCTGTTTTGCACATCGTGGTGGATGCGCTCAAGATGGGCTCAAGCCGTAACAGACCGTTTTTTGAGGGCTCAGTGGTGGGCATGTGCATCAGGTGATGAAAGCATTTTGGCAGACAACATGAACTGTGGGACGGTCCTGAGATCTGCTGGTTTCCTCAGTCGATTTGGACAGCCCAATGGAAATCGCGGCACGATCGCCTGGAACACTGAAAGCCCCACACCATGCAAGCAGATCTGCGCTTGTGGAGAACTCTTCGCAGCCTCCATGTTTTCTCCCAAGATTTTCATGGAGACTGCTGAAACGGGCTGGCAAAGTAAATGGGATTGCTACTGTGGAACTACCTGGTTTTCAACATTTTGCACATGGAAACTGCAAATTAGTGAGCTTTCCACAGGTGCGATCAATATTGTTGCATTTTTGGTAATAACGTGTGTTTTATGTGTGGGTACGCTCAAGGTGGCCCTCAATGCCGATGCACTTCTGGCATTCCGCGAGGCTGCCCGGGTGTTCATCTGCTATATCACAAGTGCAGCCAACGACATCTGCCGTGAGGCGAAGCGTGCCACAGTGTCAGCAGACGATGTGCTGGAAGGTCTGCAGGACCTGGACTTTGGGGAGTTTATATTGCCCTTGAAGGAGTCCCTTGAGGGTGGGTATTCTTTTCAGATTCCACAGTATTACATAACATATAGGCAAGGGATTGGATGCTTGGTTTGGCCATTGTTTTCACTTCTTAAATCTGAATCTTGGCACTGCATTGAAAAGGGGTTGTTGGCAGTCGAGATGCGGGCATGCAAGATGGTGCAGACTGATGCAAGGTATAACTGGCTAGACGAGCTCGCACGAGTGGATGAGTGCACAAACTAGCAGTTGTGGTAGCTTATGTGGCCTTGAGGGAGGTCTTGCTGAATCGCACATCAGGACATGTAGTGTAGTTCCAGATTCATGAAGGGATGAGGCTGCTGCAGTTGTTGCTTGTGAGGGCGTGAGTGCATGACACCATATCCCCAGTGCTTCCTCAACCTGGACTCGCATCTCCTGCATGCGACCAGCATTGCCCACCTGCGACCATGGCTCACCAAAGTGGTGAAATCAGCATATGAACAATGAAGTAGCTTGGCATTGCTGCAGCCCAGTAGGAGCTGGTGGCGTGTTGGGCTAGGTTGGTGAATTTCATGAGGTATTTTTTTTCAGGTCACTTTGAGAATCGAGGCTATTTGGGCATTGTGGCAGCCTCCCAATAAGAACAGCACAGATGTGGACATAACCTTACGACCCATTCCGTGGCACACATCAGCTGCTGTTTTTAAGTCTCATATTGGTGTTGGGGCTGGTGAAACATTCAACCGTTTGTTGTCCCCATACTGTCCTTTTTGGACACTGATGAGCCAAGCATGCGATCGTAACTTCGGCGTTTGGCCACGCGAAACAGAACGTCAGGAATATCATATCAGCATTGTGCAGTTGATGCCTGTGCGCATCTGAATTGCTGTTTCCCTGCTTCCTTCCACCAGCCTTCAAGCAGGAGTCCAAGGAGAAAAACAAAAAGAAGGCCGAGCAGCTGAAGAAGCGCAAGGAGCGGCTGTCGATGTCGCCCGGTCAGGACGGTGCGAAGGCCCCCCAGGAGGACGACCCTGGGTCTGGGGCCAAGAGGCCCCGAGCCGATGGCACCATTGAGGGGGTGCCAGCGGGTGACGCCTCGGAGCGTGTGGTGCTCGAGACCGTGGTGGAGGACGCATCTGAGGACCAAGTCAATGTGGTGGCTTCATCTGATGATGACAATGGGGATGGCGAAGGGATGGAAGAAATGGATGTGGATGAGGGGGGCGAAGGTGGCACCAGCTCGCCTCTGGGTGATAAAGAACACTGAAGAACGGTAAATGCTGGGGGAAGTGCATGAATCACGATGCACGTCCTTGCTTGTTGCCAGGCAGGAGAATCGGTGACCCTTTTGCAAGTTGACTGACATTGGGAGTGCGGATTCTGTCTGGGGTGGGTTTGGGATGGGCTGAATTGGTGAGGATTGGAGCTGGTGACCTGCAGCAACGCGGATAATTGTGCATATTTGAGTTATCGGGCAGATGGCAGAGGTGAATCAGCGACCGACAACTGCGATTGGATGGCAGACGTTGTGAGGCTCGCCATGGCGTTGAGTGCAGAACTGCAGGGTGTGGACGACCGTTGCTGCAGGTGGAATGCCAGGTTCAAGATTTCCGTCTGCCATCATGTGGACATAGTTCACTGCAGCTTGTGCTCTGCTGTGGCAGCACAAGCGATTCAGCCAGGTTTGCAGTGCAGTCCTTGGCAGACTCAACGTCAGTCACTGCTCAACAGGATGAGCCAGCCTTGTGGCTGGCATCGTCAAGTGAGGGCTGGTTCAGTGCAGCTGGCAGGATCGGAGCTGTCAGCGCGCTCAACAAACTACCAGTGTTGCTAGGCAGGATAGCACATGTAGTTGAGTCATCAGCCATTCAATGTTCTGCAGTTCGTGACCTCCCCTCTGTCCTGTGAAGATTCAGTTACAAGACAATCGACAATCTATTCTAGGGTGGGGGGATCAAGGAATCACTTGAGCACATGTAAACTGCAGAAAATTCGGATGCACACCATGACTTCTCTGTTCCAGCATGGCTGTGTCCGAGACAGAACTTGCCATGCCATGCAATGTCGTACAGGAGCTGCCAAACAGGCAATCTTTGCCTTGGCAATTCAACAGCATGCCTAAAGATCGCTACATATCCAATGACTGTCTACGAATTACTGTCCTTCGCAGTAGCCTTAAAAACAAGTGTCAAAAAATTTGCATGAGCTGGTTGTTGTGTTCTGCTCTTCGCTCCAGCAATGCTGGACAGCGCTGGGCTTCGCCAGGCAACTGCCGCCCCTGCCGTAGCTACCATCGTCTGCCCCAGCCAGTATGCTGCTGCCTTGAACCTGCTGTGGCGCTTCTTTCTCCCTTGCTTTTCTACAGGGAAAGCCACCACTTCCAGCCTTGTTTCTCTCTTTGAACAAGCCTCACCTATGGGCATGGTATAGCTGCTGTATTGAGACACAGTGTCAATGCAATTACCTCTGGCGTGGCAGCAGGGCTGAAGACAGACAAGCACACAAAGCACACACTGTGCTGCCATTTATGTGCCAGGAACCTGTGATGCACAGGGTGGCTGCATACACTTGCTCTGAAGGCCTCATCCTGGTGTTCACCGCCTTTAAGGTGGAAAACCAGCACATTTCCATTCCTTGACAAAAGACGTAAAAAGAATGGCGATGCCCAGCGTCTCGACACTGTACCTTGCCTGACTGTGTTCACACTGCTTGTGGCAGACAACGATCTGTCTTCCTAGCAAACCTTGTAACTGCTGTGGCACGAACGGGATTGTTGATGTTGGTGGTGGGCATGGGCAGGTCCAACTTCCTTACATGGATCCTCTGCAGATGACCATCAGAACAACGAATCCAGCGCATAGTCCGTAGCAAATTTGACATAGGTATCTGCAGCCAGTGAATCAGGGATTTAGAACATTGCCAAGGATCAGAAGACCTCCAGCAGAACTTGGGCAGGGACAGTCACAAGAGCATCGACACCCTATCGAGAAAATTGGCTTGGATAAGCACGCAGCCAATGATGGATAACATTACAAAACAACGATGCCAGTGGTAGCAAAATGGTTCTCATCCAAACACTGCATTGACACTGAGCTCTCTTTAGTTCACCCTGAAACAAATTTTGTGCGTATGTCCAGTTAGACTAAGCTTGGGTCATTCACTACTGGAGATGCATGCAGCATACCCCCGACATGCAGCAACAGGCCAAAACTTTTGGTGGATTTGGCCAGGTGACGAAGGAGCCCAACATCCAGTGAGGTCAGGCAGCACATGGTGGAAAGGAGCACTGGCAACTCCAACGACCCCGCACACAAGAACGGGGAGGGGCCAGTTGCATAGTTCATGAGCACACAGTGTTCTTTTGGAACATGATTTGTGCTTGAAACAGTAGGCGCCATAATCAACTACCAGTACAACTGTCTGAAATGATGTTGGCCTGGTTGCACAATGGCTGTGCCACAATCTCGGTAAGCAAGAGCAAGTACTGATGCGATGCACAGAAGAACCTCCAATCGGTGAACTCTTAAAACAAGCACTGCAAGTGATTCCACTGAACTTGTCGGCTCTTTTACCAGTCTCGTTTTGGAATCTACTATCTCCCGCAGAGCTTAAACTTTAAGCACAGCACTCACAGCAACAATCGGATGCCATATGTCGACACATTCCATACTGCATTCGAGGAGAAACTCCTAATGTTCCATCACACTGACAGCAGCCACCCTGGCCCAGTAAACTCCCAGTCATGACAGATGGCCACACGACGATCATTCATACTATATTGTATGGCTGCAGTTCCAGCTAGTGAACTCTGTTTGGATGCTATCTTGTGCATTCATTGCCCTAACGCTGCTGTACATACAGGAATCGAGTGTTCTGTCTCTGTGATTGGATCCCAGAGGATGTAGCATTGACGTTGCAAGCCAATCCCTACATCCAGTTTTGGGGTGGGGTATGGGCTTCGGATACACAAAATATTTGTCCGCAACTCTCATTAAGACATTGCAGAGTTAATCGGGAGGCCTGGCAATGTGCAGAGAAGCGTGGCGCACCGCTCCGCCAGCCGCTCGCGCTGGCCATGGCATCCCATTGCTCACTGGTCATTGGTCCTGTGTTTTGCTTGATGTCTCTATCACTGATCACATTCGCACTGGGCTGTGGCCCACCACCAACAAAGCTGCAAAACAACAGCCAAGCAGTGTTGTCAGTCAACCAAAATGCACAGTGCAAGAACGCACAGTTGCTAGGAGGGATTGATCGAATGCCTTTCATGTTCTTTGGATTCAGAATCACACCCCAGCAAGCAAATACATGTATATAAACACTTGGTTTTTACCAGTGAAACTCTCCCCTTTTTCTTGCTGGGACTGGCTTCCTGGCTCTAGACAGATATTGATTGGCTTCCCCTATCTTGCCACCTGTGCCCGACAAGTTGCTGTTGGGCCCAGAGTACTATAGCACATGTTTTCATGCTGTCAGACACTCATATGCTTGTGCACAATAAGCAGCACTTTGCTCTGCTGCTGCTGTGGTCACTTACTCTCCAGGTGCAAGGGCCCTGTTTGTCATGTGTTTTCATACAATGCATCAGAAGGAATTCATGCGCATCTGCATGCAATGCTGATCTCCCTTTCTTCTATTGTCAGTGGGATGTAAGCTAAAATCTCACCGCCGCCACGGGGGGTGGTATGCATGTTGTCATGGATGAACAAACAAAACTTCTTACTTGCTCAAAAGCATAAACGCATATGTGCATTTCAGTATAACTTCAGAACTAATGTCTCAAATGCACAGCACATGAAGTTTCACACTGTTCGCTACAATGCTGTTCATCTTCCATTTCTTCTATTTTCAGAAGGACATTGCTGACTACAATTGGGGGACGGAGTACCAGGCTGTGGACACGTTCTTCTTGCACTGTTGCAAGATGGGCACATACTGCTACTCAGCATTTCAACTCCAAAAGGCAAAAGATCAACACCAATAAGAGGAGAAGGAAGGCTTCACATAGTTAACCTAAACCTCATATCCGTCCACTGGGCCCATACAGAGCTTTTTGGGCCCTGGATTCTCGACCTGGATTGGCTGATGCATCTGGCCAAGCTGACACCTGGGTTGACAACCAGCTGGATAGTGAAATGAGAAGGCTCGCTGGATAACAAAATGACACAGCTCTGTATTGCTGAATATTCCAAAAAACTGTTCCTGTTCCCTGCTTTCTTTGTTATCCAGTAACTGGCCGGCTGGCGTAGAGGCGTGGACACATGTTCAACCACAAACACCAGGCACTGCATGCAAGCAAGAGTGCAGAGCCCACTGGGCATTGAAATGAGGCCCTGCACCATATGTCTGGAATATGGACGAATTCCCTCTGGCACAGTGGCTTTGTTGCCCGGGCTGGCAGGGTTTGATGCAAGTATTCAGCAACCTGCACAGGGGTTAGCTGCTCAGGGCCCCAAGGTCTGCTTCCTGCTGACCTTGCTGTCGGCATGGAAGGCTTGTAGGTCAAGACATCACCCGCCTTGGCAAGAGAGGTTGCACCATTCTTTAGGAGCTCAGCAGCAACCCCTTGCCGTTGTGCAGGCTCTGCCTTGGCCCTCTGATCCTCCAACTGCGACCAACATCATAGCAATTGTCCTTACAAACGCCAGAATACGAGGTGTTGACAATCAAAATGTGCTATGTCCCATTCCCTGCCACCCCATCTCTGAATATGCCGAGGAATATATGACGGGGCTTGTTCACAACTTGAATCTCATGACGCGCTCATTGTTGTCCACCTCAGCATCTCAAAATGGGTGCGCAAGCCACAGCCAAAATGCTCTCTCAGCTTGTTCACACTTGGATGGAAGCACAAAAGTCGGGAGAATGAATGGAGGTCATGCAATGAATCGTTTTGTCCCTCAGTCAGTCCTACAACTGGCTGTGCAAGGCAACTGCCATCGCGACTGCAAGGAGGCAACAATGAGTGCATACCGCAGACAACACAAGCATTCACATAAATCAAATTACTTGTTGGCATTGAAGCATCATACCAAGCCAACAGTACAATATTGAATGCAGGGCAGAGTGTGTGTGCAAAGTACTGAATATCAGGTGTTCCAGCGAGGGTATAATGTACAATTATGGATATGGACTTTGTTAGCGTTGTATCAGCACAACCAATACGTCCACAGAAAATGCAACTTGACCACCGCTACAAAGAACATCCAAGAACTCTGAATGGGAGGTAATGCATCCCACAAAGCACCACAGAGCTACACGAGGCATGATAGGTTCTTATTACATGATCTACGAACTCAATTTTGTGAAAGCGACTTCAAATCGCTGAAATGGGAGGTTGTGTTCAGGATGCTCATGACAAGGTGCCCAACCCCTGTACATAGTGCACAGAATCAATGCCTGCCTGCCTCGTTGGCAGAGCCACACCTTTCTTATTCTGTTCTCATGGATGCTGCTCTGGTTTTTGCGTTTGTATTCGGCAACCTTCAGCTCCATTGCAGCTGTGTCGATTCCCTGGGTAAGATTGAAAACTGCACAACCATGTCAGGACCCAGAACGCAATAGTAGTAAGCAAAAGCAGAGCAACGCAAAGCAAGTGTGACAACTATGTATGCCAAAGACAGGAGAGGATGGCGTGGAACAGGACACCAAACTTGTCAGTGTTCGTAGTTGCGCATGTCAGCTATGCCTCATACTCTGTAGTGGATGCAAGGGTAGTGATGTGTGAGATATAGACAACCTTGACTTGCGACAGACGACAGGAACTAGTGTGCACAGCCTTGTGCCATGCTGGTAGGAAGGGTATGTTGGTTTCACAACTGGAATCAGGAAACGCACGTTTGGAACCGATTGCAGCTTGTTCCCTAAAATTTGCGCAAAGCACATAACACTGTTGTTTGCAACAAGCAAAGGTGCTGTTGGGCGATGTCTACTGTTGTGTGGCTTTGGGCCGCATTTCCACTTGATCCTTTCACAGTCGTTGTATTGTGACCACAATACAAAAGCTCCAACAGGTCTTTGGGTGGATGTAGCTCCGTGGCGTTACCATCCCAGCCTTATCCCCGCTCTTTGATGCCCTGTTTCTCGATGTAAAGTATTGATCTGTCAAATTTTAACATTGCAGTCAATGCACGATGATGCAATTCCTGAAACGTACTGATGTCCTCACGCTCCTCCAAAAAATCGTTGAACTCCTTCTTCGATGGGAACTCATCTTCCCGTTTGTTGAATCTGCCAGAGCAGCAAAGAGAAGTCAAATTCAACGAGTGGTTAATAGGCACCGCATGGGGCAACCTCAGATCGGGGCTATTTAGTCCGTCCTTGCATGCAGCACTGTGACTTGTTGTCATTTACTGATTGTCAATGTCATCAACCCAAACAGAGTTGATGGATGTTTAGCTGTGAAGCTTAGATGCTTCAAATTCACAGATGGTGGCTCCTGCTGTATGACTGTGTTCACCAGCAGCTGCTCAATCTGGAACAGAAAAGAAAGAATTGCAAATCCAGTGCTTGGATGGGCACATGTGCTGACCGGCATTCCTGCGGGATGAGTTATACGTGACAGCCAAACTCAGCATCAAACGATCAACAGCAAGGATGCCATCAAATCCACTGGGATGATGTTTGAGCAGTTCAAAGGCGTACATGCCCAACTTCGATATGCCCTGGTTTCTACTCAGCATACTGGGGTGGCTGGGTGATATTGTCCACAGCCTCAGGGTGGCAGGCATAGGTGAATCTGGAGTGCTGTGTTCAAGCTTGTCTGCATGCCACTCTGGGTAACAGCAATAAAGGATTGATACCTAGTAGTTTTGTGGTTGTTTGGTGGGCTGCGGTGAGAGGTTCAGGAATGTGCCCAAGTGGTGGTGGTGGCGGTGGTGGGTGGGGGCTATCCTTTGTCTCCTCCTCTTCCCTCTGGACTTCATTTGTTGTCTATTTTATTGCTCCTGGACACCATGGACATGATCTAGTACAGGGGTCACAATGTGAAAATTCAGCAGCATGTTCTACATCTTTTCTCAAGGCTGCATAGCTTGATTGTATTTGTGGAAAGTGACGCAATGCAGTCCTAGCACCTGCAAGCGATGTGGGGCCTAAGGTTCAAACAGACTGTCCAGAATCCACGTTCCGCAAGTGCCAAAGTCCAACTTGGTTTCTTGACGCGACCAGGGTCTGGTGCGCAGATTGTGGCAATCATCCACAATTCTTGCTTCAGGGGTGGGGGTATTATGTTGCAAGGGATCTTTCCACTGTGACAACAATCTTGAATGTGCTCAGTGGGCTCCCGACCAGTGGAATCGCACTGTGTTTTTGGGCAGCAGGAAAGCGACAAGGACATGTGCAGCAGAGGCCTCCCTGGTTAACGTGGATAATGACAATAGCACAATGTCTGGATCGCAAAGGAAGAAATGGGACATGACTCCTTGGCAAGCACCATCCGAGGGGAGAAATTTGAATGGAAAACAAAAGGCAGCTTGCAGATGCTACTTGTAAAGTCCGTTCCTCGGTGATCTGACAGTTGCATGGAGGTGGCTTTCCAAGAGGCGGAATTCGATCCAGGGTATGCGATTTTCCTGGTATGCACGATCTTCTCAGCATCTTCTCAAATGAGTAAATGATAACATGTCTGTTGAGGTGGGGAGTGCCCAGTATCCAGCATTGTTTTCTTTGGACATTTCGTTGTTTTGGGCATTCCTATCAGGTTGCTGAAGCCCCTCTCTTCCGCCAGGGTGGGAGACGCGCCTGGACTCCCCAAACGCTATTAAGCACTCTCGAACGCAGGAACAAGGAACCGCGGCCCTCATTCCCTCAAAAATCCAATCTTCGGTGCGCCACCTGGCCCAGAGGCACGCACACGGCCGCCAGGCCGCAGCAGAAAATCCATCTCCACCCGCCCCTCCCTCGAACTCCCCCCGCCGCGCTCACATGTCCATTATGCGGCTCCTCACTTGCAGCTCCTTTTTGAGCGTATCCATGGCGGCGCCGGGCGGGCGTCTCCGGCCGGGTGACCGCTCCTCCGGGCGCCGCCCCGTGGGTCAGCATGTACGCCACCCGCCCCCCCCGCGGGTTCCTTGACCCGCACCAGGACGCGGCCAAGCCACGCGTGGGGCCTTCGCCTGGACTCGCCTCGCCTGGCGCTCGTGTGGACGCGACAGCTCGCGCCGCTTTGGCGATGAGCGGCGAAGTGAACCGGGCAGGGAGCCGGAACGAGCGACCCAGGCCTGGCAAACCCGTGGGGCACCGGAGAGGGCGAACACGGCGCGGTCGGACAGCACTTTACTGCAGCCGAGAGCCACCCAGTGCATTCCAATACGTTAGGTTTTTAAACTCTTCCGCATCTGAAGAATTTAATGTTACCCTTTCTGCTCCTCATTTTGTTTTTCATTGCGTTATTTATAAGTTATTGCGTTTGATCAGCAAAAATTGTATCAAAAGAGCATTATTTACTTTCTTGTTTCTCCACAAAAAAATGGCCAAGCGTTACGCCGCCATGCAGAAAGGCTTAAAAACCTGCGGTAGGACGTTAAGGACATGCGCACCAGGCGGAGACTATGGCGTTTTTTTGCCTGGCAAATCGGAAGTGCAGTTTTCTGGGTCGGGGGAGCGGTGTTTTTTTTGGAGCTTAGGGCCGAATTTAAGGGGCGGGCGCGTTTAGTACACGGAGTCGCAGCGCGGGTTGCAGGGAACAGTGGGCAACTACGGACTGGCTCTGCGACAGTGTGGCCGTCGGGGAGGTCGCTGGCGAGGCGCGGGGTAGTCGGGAGCGCCGCCGGGCGCCGCTCTGTCGACCGGGCACCTGTGGCCCCGCGGGCCCTGGGCGCTCTGAAGGCCCGCCTGCGAGGTGCTCTGGCCTGGAGCTGTTGGTTCCGCTCAAGATCAGCGCGACCGCAAACCGGCATCTTGGGCCGATGTTTTCTCCGGCAGGCGCCCTGGGCGCCCTGATGGCATTGTGTGGGGTGCTTGTGGGCGTGGGTGGGCAAGCTGTCGATGAGGCCAGCCACGATTTTAAAGTCCGGTGAGTGGGAGCGGGATGGCTGTGGGGAGTGATTGCAAGTTGGGGGAGCAGTGGGCCAATCGAACGTCGTTTCGGAACTTACTGGGCCGAAGCTCACTGACGAAGGGCGACATGGGGTCTCCGGCGGCAGAAGGATGGGCATCTGACGATTGAATAGTGCTCAGATATGTGTGAAAAGTGAGCGGACAGTGCCATGGCGCCCGACACGGCCGCAAATGGTGCTACGAGCGACCGAACAGGGTGGTGCAGGGGCCTGGGAATCTGCGGGGCGATTTTGGGGCACTGGTGATGAGCACAGAAAACTTGTCTTCTCCACAAAGTGTCCCCAAGCAGTGCTGGTCTGTGCACTACAGCTGAACCCCGCCGCTCCTAAGGGACCCCATCGGGGCCCAAATCGTTGATTTTGCATTCCTTGCTGCTGATCGCCGCTTTGTTCATTTTTTGCGACTTCTATGTAATCGTTAATGCCTAGGTAGGAAGCCAAGAGTTCATTCCTTGAAAGGAACTGCATGGGACATGGCGCGCTAGAAAGCACGGGCAGACCTGTGCACAATATGTTTGTGGACAGCAGAGCCTGCTGGAAGGGGGCTCAGAAGCTGATGCAATTGATATGATGCATCAATTTTGAATACAAGACAACAGAGGCTGTGCAAATGGTGGTGTCCTCAGGTCCCAAATGCGATGTACAACTTTCGAACAACCGCCATGCCACGTACTACTCTCAAATGCGGCCATACCAGCACTGAAAAAGCATTCTGCACCTGGAATGCGGAGTTGTGAACAAAGAGGGAACAATTCATGGGCACTGGCCTGCCATCCGGAAAGACGAACACACAGTAGGAAAAAGCAAAAAAGACATTGATGTTAAAGTGCCGATTGCACTAAGGAGCTCATTCTGGACCTTTCAATTGGCCTCGTCCTTGTTCAGTGCTGATGGCCAGCCTGTCTTGCAGGAATGTGCCACTGTCTGAATGCCGCAACACAAGGCAAGGGAGGTGAGTGCAACAAGTTTGGCCATGGGCGTTATCGCACGACCATGTGGAGGAAACACTTGCCCAGGCAGTTGTTCCAGGCATATGTGAGGGATGTGCCTGTTGTGTGTGTTGTGTGCTGGCTATGTGTGTTGTGTCTGCTCCCAGCTGATGGTATGCATCCAGCCATTGTATCAGCGTCAGTTGGCGATTGTCAATGGCCTCTGCAAGAGGCAGTCCATTTGCTTCCGCCGAACACGACGATAGCAGCCATCTTGGCAAGGGTGTTGTTCCAGAGAATTTGTTCATCTTATTCTAGTTTGCTTAGCGTTCGTTTTCTTGTTCATTTTTCAAATTCATAGTATGTGTGGCACACTGCAAGGGGCTATCCCAGAGCTTTTGTGTAAGTCTGAATCGCCTTTCTGCAGTGTTGTCTTTTTTTTCTTTGTCGGTTTGTTCACAGAAACTGCAACATGTCATGGGCGCTACATTGCAGATATTATATCACAGACGATCGTGGCTTTCTCTGCCACCGGGATGCCTACAACACAAATACTGGATGCTGCACAACAGGCGATCCTTTCTCCTGTGATACGTGAGTGCCTGCACGTTACTTACACAAAATCATGGTGACTTGCCCCTCTCTGAAGGCTGTGAGCCAATCAAGCAGTGCTCTAGTTTGTTGGTATGGCTCAGAAAATGCAGACTATACAGCTGCCTGATTGGACAAAGGTTCCTGTCCAAGGGGCACAGCACTCTTTTAATATTGTTGTTGCTTCTCTTGCCAACCCAGCCCTAGTCAGTGTCCTTGTTGTTGCAAAAGATTTTCTTTGCAAACTTAACTGGTTTGTAGCAATTCTAGTCAAGTGCATGGAAGTGCTCTGTGTTTGCAGTTGCCAAAGAAGGGCTGAAGCAGAACAAGGCACCCTGGATGCCATTAAGGGATGGCAGTGCAGTGATACATGTCCCACAGGGTTGTTGATATGTGAATCAATTCACGTGTTTTCATACTGCTTCGGAGTTTCAACCTTGCAGAACTGTATGTTTGACACAACGATGCACTTTGTGTGTGGTCATGCAGGTGCAATCTTGATACCAAGTGCTGCTCGATGTATGAAGCATGTGTTTCATGCTGCCTGGCTCCCAAGCACAATGCCATCGAGATCTACCCAACAGTATTCAGGTGGTGCCCTCCTTGACGCCTCACCATGTGGGGAGTCGCTGATCTCTGGTGCTTTCATGACCTGTTGGCAATGTGGCACCACGCCAAGGACATGTGTGCTTCAATGCTGCTGTTGGAGCATCTCCATATGGATTGTGCATTGATAAATTGTTCCATTTTTCCAGGGCTGTAAGGCACCCAGAGACGGGCCACTGGGGGGATGAGTTTGAGTATTGCAGAGGGAAATGCCGGACTCACAGTCGAAGCACAGTGCATGAGAATGCATTCATTGATGTGAAACATTTCTGTTTCTCAGAGGATGCGCGTCCACAGGTACCTTTTCTTCACTGAATCTTTCGCTGTAATTCTTCTCCGCAATTTGGTGCCCTCAATCGCAGCTGAATAAACACATGTTCTTTGTCATCATTCAAGGCGATGCAATGCATAGGGTGCTGTGGATGTTTTCCATGATTGCCACAAATGCAGAGTTTTCAGGCATTGAGATCCATCAAACACAATTATTGATTTGCGATTGTTGGCATGTCATCAAAGCAGCACAGTTACAATCTCTAAATGGTCCAAAAGACATGCAACACAATCTGGGTTTGGCCAAAGTAGGCTGGCTTAGTGTGCTACTGTTGTGCACACAGTTCGGGCTGTCAAAACAGCACCCAGGATTGCGTGGTAGTCGTTCTGATAACGGAACGAGTGTACACTCATTATTGTCTTTATGTCTTATCAATATTGTCTTTCGAAGCAGTCAATAAGTTGTCCATGCAACAGCGTCTCCTTAATGGATTCATCCAGTTTGATTGCATTATCCTGTCACCACAGCGATGCGGGATCCTTCCACCAAGTGGAGAAATTGTCAAAAAGTTGTATTTTGTACTGCAATGCGCCATTCCAATTGACACACTGTGCGCAAGTGCGGAATCGCCTCACTCACAGGTTGTGCTGCATGTAGTCCGTGCATGGCACACTTGCCTGCTCTGCCTGTCTCTCAGTGGGCTGTGAACGCCTGCTGCCCTTTGTCATGGTGGTTTGGGTGAACAGTTGTTGTACGGTGTGCAGTTCCAGGTGGACTCGTCTGGAAGCAGAGTCACTCCAGACTGCCTATGCGCTTTCCCATGCTGTTTGGAAGTGTATCATTGTCTTTGCTGTCATCAGCCTTCCAAACTCAGTCTTTGCACAGCCCAGTCTCTTCTGTTCGTGTCCAGGCACCAGAGCCACCCACGCCGCCCGTCCCAGAGAACGTCCAGGTGGTCATCGGTTCCCCAGGCGAAGACTGCGTCTCTACATGTGGCGACCAAGGATTGCGCTGTATCCTAGAAGTCTTCCCTGCCCTCAACAGCTGCAGGGTTATGAGGGACAACTTCCCCTGTGAGGCGGCATGCACGGACGACCCAGAGATACCCCAACCTGCGTACATTGTGCCTGAGGCCTCCAAGGCAGAAAGTCCTGCAGCGTGTTTCATACGGGCCCAGGACTCCCAGTTCGATGGTGGCTCATGTGACTGGAGCAAGAGCCACGCTAGACGGCTGTGTCCCTGTGGGGAGGACACTCCACTGGACGATTCGCAACAGGGCATGGGTTTGGTTGCTGAAACCCAAGAAATTCCACGGGAGAACGACGCCGAACCAGGCATTTGAACCCAAGGAGACTGCCACGTCCTCAGAGCGGGAGTGGAGGGGGAATGGCGCTCTCTCTTTTCTTTTCAGGACTACCCTTTAGCTTCTGTCTTGTGTGCTGTGTTTTTGGGAGGTTAGTGGGAGACAGCGACTTCCCAGTTCCTTTTTCATCGTTTAATCATTGGTTGAGAGGTTGTGGCGGCGTTGTCTCAGTCTTGGGATGCACGTGTCGCGTGATGATCTGTCTTGGTGAGTGCAGAGCGCGTGGAGAAACAATGAAGATGAGATGATGTAGAAGGCCTGGTGATTGACCTCGTGGCTTTGAGCGCGAGCATCGTGCCGTGGACCCCTAAAAATTGTCCGGAGTGACATTGTGCATCCGACATTACAACGCGCTCTGCCAAAATGAAGCTCGGCAGGGCAAATGACGAGTGGAATTTAGAGGTTGAGAGGAAAGAACCGTTTCACCAACGTCATTCAATGGAGAACCCATGTCAAGCGAGTGCCTGGGGCTCTTCTCATGGCAGTGGAAAGGTGGCGCAGAGTCTCTACGGTGTACTGGAAGAGTGGAGAGCACGAGCAGCAGCAAGATGACATTTCGCTGAGAAAACCGTAGACAGACACACTACTTGAACCCACACAGCTGCCGAGAGCAAAATTCATCCAAAACCCAGCAACTGCCAGAAGCCCATCGAACTGCCCAAAACCCAGATCCATATTCAACACCCAGAGAAAGCACTAGAAAGCCCCCTCTCTGGGGCTGTCGCCATCCTGATCGCCATGTCCTTTGTTGGACAGGACTTCCATAAAGAATGGGGACAGACACCAGCGACCAGGACCCAATAGATGCTCCCATCCCTTGTAAGCATTCACATGAGATTCCTTCGAACTCCGCCGAAACTGCACAATGCAACCGCTGCAGAATCACAATGAAACGTGGACAGTGGAACAGACGACGCTCACGGTCGTCTACAAGCGCATTGCCCCCCCCTTGTAGCAGCCATCGTCCTGCTGTACGAAACGATGCAACTGTGCCACAGTGCGGCAGTGCCACCACAGAAATTGAGACGCCTGGGCCGCCTCCAAACCACCCACACACCCACCAAGGGTAGGTCGCTCCTGAAGTGACGCTGGCCCCATGCAATGCTCCCTCTTCATGCCCATCTCGCCATGGAAGATCTGGATCTTCAGAGACAGATACGGCTCCCTCTCAGCACGGTCCCAGAGAACAGTCCCGAGGTTGGCCCTACAAGAGGGGCCCGTTGCCCATATAAACATATCTTTTGCGCTGTCTGTTAGGCTACAGCCAAAGCGTTCTCCTACAAGGCAGCTTGACTGGAAGTCCAGCATAACATGAGCGTCCCGCCCACGTTCGGGGTGGCAGGCAATCCGTGGCATCTGCAAGACTGGAAACCAACAATTCATCCTCTACCAGAGTGTTGAGGTCCCCATTGCCTCCAGCTTGCATGGCTGGTGCAGTGCCAAAAATAATTCCTGCTAGGCGCTGTTCCTATCATAGCCAGGCTTTCTTCGTATTTGAATAGTGGCACCAAAGAAAACGGAACAATAGCACGATTTGGTCCCATTTCCGCGATTTACAGTTCAAGTACACGAATTTCCGAATTCAAGACGATTTGAAAGAATTCGATGCAATGCTGAACGCGCACTTGCTGTTGACAAACACTGGCCAGTGTTCGTCGATACAGATGATATGAATTGGTCGCCAATACAGATGATATGAATTTATGCCCAATTGGCGACCCATGAACCGCCAAAATTGGCTAGGAAGTGGCGAAAATCCACAAAAGTAGAGAAAAGGGCTTAGTCTCCTCCAAAGGATGAACTGCAGAATAGAAGGAGAAATACGGAGACGACAATGCGGCGAGGCACATGAGTACCTCGGAGTGCGCCCGATTCTGCCAAGATACGGGACACAATACCGACGCCACGTAGGTTCTGCGTCCCAGGAAGTGACGCCACCTCCCCGCGCCGCCCCTCTGGACACACGCGGTTGGCTCACGACGCTGCGCCCTCGCTCGGAAACGGCGTCCGACAACGCAACACTGCCAGGAGGACGGATCTGCAGAGATCGGCTGCAGCAATGCGCGTCGATTGGCTCGCTCCAGCGTTCGGGATCAAGGGGCTGCGAGCACCGATGGCAGTCGGTGGGGCAGCGATCCTTGGCGGGTCTTCGCCGATGGGTCCACTGGTCGGGTGGAGGCCTCGAGGGCTGCGTGGGGATTGCGGCATGCGGAACGCGCGATTGGCGAGAGGCGCGGGGAACAGCGGTGGTGCAGCGCGGTGATGGCTTCACAGGAACAGGTGACGGGCTTCACGGGGGCAGATGATGTAGTGCCACCGGATTACAGTGGCAGAGAGGGCAGCCACCGCAGGCGTACAGTGGGATGCTGAAAGGCCGACATTGCACGTCCCAAACGCCTTCCCAGTCAGGAAGACTTTGCCAACGACGGTCAAAAGCTTTTCATCAAAAAAATTCAACTAGAACTGACCCAAGAGAGGTGTTGATGCGCGCCGCAACAGATCTACGACGTCTGCAAGGCAATATACGCAATTGATGACTATGCTGCCAAGCTTCAAGCAAGATGATGGTCAATATGTGTGATTATAATCACACATTAACTGATGTCATTGTGCGGCTAGGCATTTGTGGAAATTGTCGCAAGCGTATGCTGAAGACATTGGCGAATCAAAGCTCTGACGTCCTGCCTTAGGGGAAGGCGCTATGTCGATTTTATTATGCTTAGCGCCAATTTGACTTTTTTTAAGCCTGCACTTCTCCTCTCATGGAAAAGAGCTCACATACCATCCTGCCCGGGCGTGGGTTGGCCTCTCGTATGACCTCGCTTCTTTTCTCTTTTGTATCGAAATCTTACCCCCCTAACCCACTTGACATTCGGCACATTCTCTACATCTCATACGGGCCCCATGAGTGCATGTTTTTTCGGCCTATGACTTGCTAGTGTTGTGTGCTCATCTTTGCTTCTGAGGCTCTATAACATCTTTCCGTAGCATGGAAAAGAGCCTCACATACACTTGCCTAGGCCGGGGGGCCCTTTTTCTGACCTGTTTCCCTTTCTCTTTTGTCTATCCCCCACCCTCTCCCCTCCTTAGCGTCAAATTGACGATTGACGCCGTCAATCCTTATGTCGAAGCTAGGATGACTCAGCAACATTGCCTAACCGTGGAATACAATTTCTTGCTGGTTTTGAGAAAAAAACGCTCAGAGTCGTACAAATTTTGATGGGCTAAAAATGGTATTATAAATATCATCATAGGCAAGGCGGGCAGCTTCAATGCCTATAAATTGACGCACTGTAAGGACTTCCTTGAAGACTGAACATTTCATTGAGATTTCTGCCATACCGGTCTCCTCCAAACTGTATAAATGCCGTCAAAATCACCGTCCATCACCTCACTACTACAAGACCCGATTAGCGACCCACTTGAACGTGCCCTCGCTTCGCATAGTACTCAATGCCACCCTGATGGTGACTCAACCCAGAGTCAGCTTCCCTTTCTCGTACTCAACTCCCTCTCCTTCCCACAGCGAACCAAAACTCACTCTATTAAGGTGGGCCGGGCGGGTGCGAAACAAGATAAGGGGGGCGCCAAAGGTCGCGCCTCAAATAGCCGCTCCCACTTGCTGCCCAACTCCCCGCCAAACCCAAGGGCCAGCTTGACCGGTCCCCTTGTCTATGCCCAAGGTACAAGGTTCCCCCCCAACTGCCCTTGGGTCCGTCAGGAAGAACTGAACCTAAGTACAGGGTTGACAGAAACCAGCCGAGTGATGGCCCTGAAACTGGCCTAAGGGGCAGAACGGCCCAAACTGGCCGTTGCGCGCCCACCCAACATCGTCCTTGGCAGAAACTCATTAACAGGATAGTTAATTATATTGATGGACAAGTCACGAGTGTTTTGCTGCTGATCAGCAGGGTTTTCAGTCATCTTTCCATCTTATGTCGAATTTTTGCCATTACCTAATCTCTTAGCATCACAGGTCTGAAACCCACCCCCACCCACTCACCCACCCCCAGCGTCAAATTGACGATAAGCCTAACAAAATCGACATAGTGTCTTTTTTAAGTTGTTGAGGACCTCTCAAAATACTTGCTGGCAATAGGCTTGACTTCCCAGAGATTGTTGTGCAACAAAACGCTAAATCTGACGTGGATTTTCAGGTTGATCAGAGCGCAAATTTATTCAGGGCAGGCTAGGGCGAGATGTGATGTCATCTCTTTTCAAATTTTCTCTATCAAGCAGATTAGTTTATGTGTTTCTGTGAGGCTTGACAGCCCAACAGAGATGCGACAGGCGACGCAAATAACATCAGGAATCTGGTCACGAATTTGGTCATCAAAAGTTACAGACTTTTGTTGCTGATGCGCTGGGTGTGTGTATCCGTTTTTTATTTCAATCAAGAAGGATCACTGGGCTGATTTGTGAGATGGCTGTGACGTCACAGCGTAGTTTGTGAACAGGATTCTATATTGCGGGAAAAAGGGCAGGCGGAGCTGTGGGTGTGCACGAATATTCCTGCGAATCTTTCAGGTCACCGCACAGATTTGATTGTGGCGCTGCGCGTGTGCTGGAAATGTGAACAATGATTGAAGTGATGGCCACCTGAGAGCTGCAAGGAGGATATGTGAGGATTAAAAGAGCATGCTGTGAGGTTTGCGGAAGCATGCTCAAATGTGTTACGAATAGTGGAGTATGAGGCACAAGGGGGGTGAGAATGACGTGAACTGCTATGTTTGGACGTGACCTGAAAGAAATCGTACAAGATTTGGTTTTAATGCCATTTCTGACGTGGTTGGGGTATTTGGAAGCTGGCGTGCTATGTGGAGGCCGCATCCTGATGTGCCCAGCGCCAGAGGGGCTGAACGGAACGGACCATCGTCTGTGAAGTTGTAAGCACTCCGTTGGCCCTCTCCGCGTGTGCGACCGTTGCACACAGGCTGCGGCGCGCAGCCTAGACAGAGTGGCTTCACGGCGAAGAGTTT